AGTTTTATAATATAATATAATAAAACTATACTATATTATATTATAAAATTTTACTAAAAACTATAAAACTATACTACTTTTAATACTCTAATTATATTACGTGTTTCTTATAATAGAACTATTTATCTTATTTAATAGCATAATAACTCTTATTAGCTTAACGTTATAACTTAAATTACAATAAGTTCTTAGCGTAGCTATTAGCTACTAGTTTACTCTTATTAAATATAAGTTAGCAGCTATTTATAGTTAGACCTAATATTAAAGTTACTTCGTTTCTCTTCTTTTAGTTGTTTTACGTGTAAGTCTCTTCTACAAGTAACTCTATCTATTAGTACTCTTCTTTTTATATTTTATAGAACTTACACGTATTTTTTTATAAAAACATATATAAAAATCTTTTTAGTTCTTAATTTTAAACTCTCTTATCATTTAATATTACACCTATACTTCTTATATATATCTAGTATATCTTAGCTCTTCGTGTCTAAGAAGTTAATTTACACTATAAAATACACGTCTTTATTATAAAGTTTCTCCGTAATAATTGTAAATCGTTTACACGGAGGTTTACACACAAAATCTTTCGGTTATACACTTAGGTTAAATTTAAATAACGTCGGTTACTACGTTCCCTCGAGTTGCTACGCTCTGGCCGCGCAGGCCGGGATTCGTAGCCCTGTCCTTCTTTTCGACGTTTTTATCGGTAGCCAGGGAAGATAAAGAGAGAACTCACCTTGATACATGAATAAAGCAGTCTTTCGATGTAACCACTAGTCTTCTTATTAGACACATCCACGGGTCTACTCAAGCACACATCTAACTCGAGCAATACCGACAATCTGTAACCACATTCACTTTTAAAGCTATTCCCACTTCTAGTTTTGGATCCACTACCGTATGGCTTCGTGTTTCACCCCACCAATTAACCAGAGATTCTCACTTCCTTTGTGAGCACACTCCCCTGTTCATCTCGCACAAGTTCCCCTTGTTGATCTCGTACCTCTTCCGTTCTCCACGGCCAGCCGCGACTCCGTCGTAGCATCTAATTACCACCAAGAGACACTTGTCAGCACAATCCATTCAAACTATGTCAACAGCACAAAAGGGGATGACGGCACTCACATATCCGCCATCAACAATGATCGCTGCACCATCGGGCAAC